CCAATGAGAAGTCAGGACTGAGAACTGATGCTGGGATTGGGCAAGATGGAATTTATTATGACTTTTGATAGGAACAGTTTTAGCATTACGGTGGAGGTGAAAGCCTAAAATAGATTAAAATAAGAAAGTGAGGTAATAAGTAGAGTTAATAAAAATAGACAATCTTCCTAGATTTCTGGTAAAGCAAAATAGAGCAATGAGACACTAGGAGGGGGTGGATATTGGGTCAGGGGACAGCTCTATTTTCTTTCTTTTTCTTTCTTTCCTTTTTGTTTTAAGGAGAAAGATATGACATCATATCCATTTTAAAGTTTTTTTTTGAGGAAAAGCAAGAGTGACTGATATTATAGAAGACTGAACCGATAAATGCAGAAGGAAAGCCAGACATGGACAGGAGGTTATGGAGTCCAGGCACCAAGAGCTGGCCTCAGAAAGCAGCAGGAAATTTCTTTTGCTGTCACAGGGAGAGTATGCAGCAGATCTGGTGGCAGAAAAGTGAGGTGGTTTTCATTTGACTGCTTGGATTTTCTCAATAGCATGTGAAGGGAGGTCAACAGGTGAAGATGAGGATGAGAGGGGAGTGTGAGGTATGAGAAGATAAAATGAGATGTGGATTTTTGTCCTAAAGAATGAGAAAAAAATTTTTTTTTCCTAAATAAATGGGTAAGAATTGCTGAGGGCTTTGAGAGTTCATTCGAAATCAGTGGTTAAAATTTTAAAGTGAGGTGAGTGAGGGTTTCTCTAGCCACGTCTGGTTGCTCATGTGCTGGTGAGGAATGAGGAATGAGCTGGTTTAAGCAGGGTGAGTGAAACAGGGCTGGGGTTTTGCTGGATGCACACAGAATGGGGGAGAGAAGACACATTGAGAGTATAGAAGCAGAATTAAAGTGATGGCTCAGTTAAGTGAGGAGGGAAGAAAAGGCATAAAGAAGGTGAAAACTGGGGAGGGGGAAGTGCTGAAATCCATGATTCACGGTTCCCAAGGAGGAATGGGGGGGGTACTAGGATAAAGATGAAGATAGGAAGATATCTATCTACCTCTCTGAAGATGAAGATATCTCAGAGAAGATAGTGCTTGACCTGGAGGCTCTGTAGGGGGGTGAATCTCATGGCTGTATCAAGGTTCAGAGTAAGATCTGAGACCTCACAGCAGGAAGCGAACAAGGTAATCTAGGCCGGGGGGCCCTGGCTCATGCCTGTAATCCCAGCACTCTGGGAGGTTCTCTGGGAGGCTGAGGTGGGTGGATTGTCTTGAGCAAGAGTCCCTTTGCCTGAGAGCAGCCTGATCAAGAGTCCCTCCTTAAAAATAGAGCCCAGTGTTGTGGTGGACACCTATAGTCCCAAGCTACTCAGAAGGCTGAGGCAAGAGAATCGCCTGAGCCCAAGAGTTACAGGTTGCTGTGAGCTGTGACCCATGGCATTCTACCAAGGGTGACAGACAGAGACTGTCTTAAGAAGAAAAAAAATGACCTGACATGTTCAAGATCAGAAAGCAAGTAAGTATCAGAACCCCGACTGGAATGCACAATTGTCTTACTCCTACTGAATGTTCTATCTCACACCAGCATTAACTTCTATTTATTTTTTGATCTACAAAACTAAGGTAAGTAAATGGTGTTGTCTGTTCAACATGTTTATGTGCACTGGGTGGGCAGAAAAATGAAGTCAGCTTTATGAGCACGAGACTTGTTCAGTTTCACCGAGTCCTGTGTTTAGAAGGACTCCACATTTCTATTTTGTATTGCATTTCACAAATCATATAGTCAGCCCTGGAGACAGGGTTAGTGATTTAGGAGAAATGGGTTCTTTTATACCCATTTGGGCTAGTTTTCCATAAGCCTCACTTTTTCTGGTACTTGGCAAACCATTAGAATTATATCAAAGTCCATAACGCAAGTTTTAAAGAACCCATTGGTAAAATATTTAAATTTCCGTGTATGTTTCCTCTTAAAACCACTCACACTCAATAAAAATTAGGTTGAAAATAAAAAATCCCCTGACTCAGGAATGAGGATAATCAGTAAACTAAAAAGAAGATATAAAATTAAAGTACAGGTCAAAATCTGAACTCATGCTTGAATGACAGCTTACAGAAACATACTTCCATTTTGATTTCTTACTATACATGGATCATATGTTTATGATGGAAAGTTTAGGAAATAAACATAAACAAAAAGAAAAAAGTAAAAATTTCCCAAAAAGTCCTTCACAAAAGTTAGCTGCTTTTAACATTTTGGTGTTTATCTTTCTGGGATTTCTCTGTAGGTTTATTTGAGTGTATTATGTGTGGACAGTATTGTTTACTGGATCATGTTTTTTTTTTTTTATTTTATATATGTTTATTTTCAAAATAAATTTATTTAAGTCACTTTGGACCCAGCATGTCCTTAGGTTTTACCCACTGATCAAACTGCTCTGCTGTGAGATAGCCAAGTTCAATGGCAGTTTCTTTTAAGGTTGATCCATTTTTGTGTGCTGTTTTGGCAATCTTTGCTGCCTTGTCATACCCTATGTGAGGATTGAGAGCTGTCACCAGCATTAGAGACTCATTCATTAGCTTGTTGATCCTTTCTGTGTTGGCCTGGATTCCCACCACACAGTTTTCTGTGAAGGAAACTGAAGCATCCCCCAGCAGCCTGGCTGAGTGTAACACATTTTTAATCATCATCGGCTTAAAAACATTCAACTCAAAATGTCCATTGCTGCCTCCAACCGTTACAGCGACATGATTCCCCATGACTTGGGCTGCGACCATGGTCATTGCTTCACACTGAGTAGGGTTCACTTTGCCTGGCATGATACTGCTTCCTGGTTCATTTTCAGGCAAGATCAGTTCACCTAGACCTGACCGAGGACCAGAACCCAGAAAGCGGATGTCATTTGCTATCTTCATCAGACTGCAAGCAGTTGTGTTCATGGCTCCACTGAGCTCAACCAGAGCATCGTGAGCAGCCAGAGCTTCAAATTTATTTGGAGCAGTGACAAATGGCAAGCCTGTGAGTGAAGCCACTTTGGCAGCAACTTTTTCTGCGAAGCCGACTCTAGTATTTAAACCGGTACCGACAGCCGTGCCTCCAGCTGCGAGCTCGTAGATCCGTGGCATGGCAGCTTCTATTCTTGCCATTGCATACGCCACTTGTTGAACATAACCACTAAATTCCTGCCCAAGAGTAAGGGGAACAGCGTCCTGAGTGTGAGTGCGCCCAATTTTGATGATCTGCGCAAACTCTTGGGATTTTGCATGGAGAGCATCATGGAGCTTCTGCAGTCCTGGTAACAGCACTTCGTGAACCTCGACTGCAGCAGCAATGTGCATTGCTGTGGGGAAAGTATCGTTGGAGCTCTGGCTTTTATTAACATGATCATTGGGATGCACAGGGCTCTTGCTACCAAGCTCGCCTCCTAAAATCTCAATTGCTCTATTGCTAATGACTTCATTCACATTCATATTCGTCTGGGTTCCGGATCCAGTCTGCCACACCACGAGAGGAAAATGATCATTTAATTTACCTTCAGCCACCTCGTCTGCCGCCTTCGTTATTGCATTAGCAATCTTTGGATCAAGACCATAGTCCTGGTTTACTTCAGCAGCTGCTCGTTTCTAGATGCCAAAAGCTTTAATAACTGGGACTGGCATGCGTTCCGTCACTCCTCCAATCTTAAAGTTCATCGTAGATCTCACGGTCTGGGCACCATAGTACTTATCATTTGGGACCTTGAGTTCACCAAAGGTATCATACTCTATCCGGAAGGAATTCTGGCTTGCCATTCGAGCCGCGTTCGGGACCCAGAATGGGGGGACGGCCGCGCCACTCGAGCCGGGAGCTGAGGCTGAGGCTGGAGCTCGCCGAAGGCGCCGCGACCGCGCGAGAAGACGGAGTGCTCGGTACATGGTGCTGTGGAAGCCTCTGGATCATGTTTTAAATATCATTTTAAAACTTTTAAAATTTAATAGTATAACCTAGGTAAATCATGTACTCATATAATTATTTTTTTCTAAAATACTATTTTAATATAATTTTTATTATGTAGATATATAAGCAAGATTTTTCTTTTCTTTTTATTATTAAATGCTTATCTTTTCCAATCTTCACTATTGTGAAGAATACTAATATGAAGACTCTTTGTGTATTTGGACGTTCTTGTAAGTACAATTTCTGGGTCTAAAAGTATTCCCATTTTAATAGCTGTTGAGTCAGATTTCCAAATTTTTCATTTAGGTTTGCACCAATTTCCAGAACTTCACACTGGTGCTAAATATTCATATTCCTTTCAAATTTTTGCCAATCAAAAAGACAAAAATTATTCATTCTCCTTGGCTTTGTTCTTAATGAGGTGGGACAGATTTCCCCATGTTTACTGGCCTTTTCTTTTTTGATGAGTGTCTTGCTAATGTCTTTTGTTCATGGTTTTCTAGATGGTCACATGTCTTTCTCTAAATTTTTTGAAAAAAGTCTAAATATATTGAGGCTATGTTGCACAGTCTCTTTAATTTGGCAAAAGACTTTGCCAAGTCCCTACCAGGATACTTGTAGAGCTTTGCGGGGCTGTTGTGTTTTTCCCTATGGAGTTTTAGTTTATGTGATTTAGTTTTCTTTTAAAATTAAATAGGAAATGTATGGTTACACTGTAGTTATGTAGTTATGATGAATTTTCAATATTAGAGAAATGAGACTATAGTATAGTATACACATACATAATGTAGAACCAAAACACCAGTAATAACAATGGAAAAATAAAATGCTCTATAAGCTCATTGAACATTTCTCTTTCTCATTCAATTCCCCAAATCCTGGCAAGGCAGTTTATGTTCTGATTATTTTGTCTGCTGCCTCAATGCTCTCCACTGCTAGCATTTCGTTAATATTCTGATTGTGAGTGCTGTGGAAAACTCCCAGCTTAGAACAGACAATTGTGTAATTTCACAAGACAACTCATTATGATATAGAATATGGAATGCAAGATTGGGGCTTTGGTTTTAAAAAAAAAATTTTTCTTACTCTCTCCAGCGTAATTTCTTCAAATTCATATTCAATTTCTGTCCCATTGACCTGTAAATAGGAAACAAAAAAAGAAGAATTATTAAATACATGTAGAAGAGACAGCTGCATTTTTAAAAATGCTTGGAGGTTAGATTTCATCTTCACTGAAGACAGAAACCACAGTTTCTTGACATTTGCAATTACATATTTTCATTCAAATGGAACATAATCCAAGCTATTCTAAAATATCTAAGTAAGATGCTGCAAAAAATGATCAAAGATTTTTATATCCCTTAGAATCTGTGCTTTTCCTAAGGAGAAAAAAATATAAGATATACATTATGAGAATACAAAAAATAAATCACCTAGGGCCAATGTTACAATGATAAGGGAAATAATTTTCTAATATCTTTAAAAATTTTATGATTAAACACCAAAGTGTGACCTTAAAATTCATTGATAATGGTAGTTCTACTCTATGCCACTTTTTGCTAAATAGTATTCAACTAAGGAATGTCTTTCCTTCAGTGGTTCAAGCTCAGGTAAGTCGTCTCCATTATTCTTTTGTTAGGTTTATTGGAAGGCTATGGACTGTAGAACCATGCCCAATACTTCACTAGTACTAAGAAAAAAGCAAAGTAGGACACATTTTGAAATTTCAAGTGACACATCATTTTAACCATCCAACTAAGCTTTGAATTGATTTGTATATACAAAGAGAAATAAATACATTTTAAATACAGCAAGGCACCTTGCATTTCGATAGATGTACATAGAGAGTGTATGAAGAGTTGTTTAAAGTAATCTAACAAATGTTAGATTCCCATGGATCACAGAGTCTGTCTCAGCCAAGCAAAACCTCTGAGCAAGAAAATGCTCAAATTGGCTGTTTCCTATTTCTGATAACGTGTCTTGGCAACATCATTAGAATTTATGAATCAGCCAGAAAGACTAATTTTTAACATAAAACCACATTTTTTTAATAGGATTCCAGTTTTAGTTTGCTTTTCCATCTTAGAAGAATTTATACATAGTACTGAAGATTGAGAGCTCTGTGATTCAAGGACCAGACGTTGCCTAACACATGGCCTGGCAAGAAAGGCTTCATGAAGGACAAATGAATGAATGAATGAATGACCTTAGTAACTTATTTAGCAGACTTATAAACACAGATATTTGTGGATTCTCATTCAGAATGAATTTGGATGTATCATCCCACTGAGAATTGGGTATTATCAACTAAAAGTGTAATGATAGTTATAATCAGCAAAAATATAGAATGACAATGACCATGGACTTGACGTGAGCATGTTTTGGATTTTCTAATTATGTGAGCTAATTGGTGAATCACAATTTACTGTGTTACTACATTATCAAACAGCTCTAAACCAAATTTGATTTTCTGGGCTTCAGCAACTTAATGAGTCACAGAAAGGAACTTGATGATGCCAGAAAGCTTTACCAGTGTTATGTAGGTTTTTGTTCTGCACATGTAAAAGTAATAAAGAAAGAAAAAGAAAAAGAAAAAATCCCACCAAACTCAAACTCTCTCTATATGTATGTATGTCCTTATGATTTTTTTAAATAACTTTCTTTACCTAATAGAAGCAATTGGATAGAAAGAGAAGGCTGAATTAATGTATATGTCTTTACTCTCAGTATGGCTCCGTGAAGCTTTTCTCTGCCTCACTGCTCCTCTAGAGTGAAGCACTTCGCATTATTAAAGTGCTGCCAACTGGGGAGAAACAAACAACTTCAGAGAGAGAAAAACAAGCCTCTGATAACACATATCTAAACTCACATGAGTGTCCAACCTTTTCTGCTACACATTGGAAGAAGAGTTGCATTACATGCATTGCGTTACATGAAATACGCAAACACTCACAAAAGCTGATTAGCAACAACAAAAAAGCAAAATCCATGTGTAATTATTTTTGGTGACATCTAGACACCACAGATAAGCAAAAATGCCCTTATAAAATCAACATGCATCCTTAATCATTAGAGAAATGCAAATCAAAACTACTTTGAGATATCACCTAACTCCAGTAAGATTAGCCCATATCACAAAATCTCAAAAACAGAGTTGCTGGCATGGATGTGGAGAAAAGGGAACACTTCTACATTGCTGGTGGGAATGCAATTTAATACGTTCCTTTTGGAAAGAAATCTGGAGAACACTTAGAGAACTAAAAATAAACTTGCCATTTGATCCTACAATTCCACTATTAGGTATATACCCAGAAGATAAAAAATCACATTACAATAAAGATGTTTGTATCAGAATGTTTACTGCAGCACAATTCATAATTGCCAGGT